GGCCCCCCCCCCCCCCCCCCCAACTCCTTAAAATCTCTTTGATTTTTATTTCATTTTTGGGTTTGATTTCGATTTTGAATTCAAACTTGATTTCGATTTATGTTTTAAATTTTGATTTTGATTTCGTTTATCATTCTATTTGGGATTTTTGATGCGTATTTGTTTTTAATTTGGATAAAAATTTGATTAGTAGGCTGTGGATTAGTGGCAGTATTGGTGGTGTGTGTGATTGTGTTTTGTGTGCAGCGAGAGAGAGATACAATTGCTAGGTTTGGTGCGTTTGTGGATCTCTCTCTCGCAGAGCTCAAAGATAGTTGTTGGGTTTGTGCATTTGTGCGTTTGTGAGTATGACTATGTGTGTTGTGTTGTGGATGTGTATTTGTGGTTTTGTGTAAAGGTTTTCAAAGGGCTGATGTGTTTGGAGAGAGCGAGGGAGAACTGTGTTGGGTTTGGGGGTAGGGACGCAGTAAAGAGAGAGAGAGAATGTCACTGTGTATCCTAACATAACGAAAGTGTCCCTTAATAGCCTCATGGCTCGGGCTAGTTTTTTAAACGGAAGTTAGGGGTAAGAGTCAAGGTAGATCAATGTCTAAACATTGAAGACGAAATTAAAAAAATTAGAAGTTTAAAAACCAAAGTGTAATAAGCGATAAACTTCAAGGACTATCAGTACAATTAACTCTTTTTCATACTCACATCTTCGGTAATGCGCTTCTCCTCAATTTCATCCACAGATATGAGGGGATGCAAATCATTTGTTTTTTGACATGGACTCACATAGTTTACATGCATGCATGCATGTGTGGCGCTCTACATAGGTAATTGGTGTATATGACAATTTTTTAGGGATTCAGGCATTAAGTTGAATAGAAAGGATCTGACAATCAAAAAGAATATTATTAATTTAGCTTACTGAAGTGCCAAAAGCTAGTGTTTGTTTATGGCCATTGATTAGGATCTCTCCATTCTGTCTCGTGTTTGAATCTAGCCTCCCTGCAANATTGACCATAAAGTATTAACTGCTCCATAAGTTCATTGAATTATATATTTATCTCAAACAATTTACAAGAACAGAATCTGAAAGGTGATCCTTGATTTTGCATGCATACTCAAGGAAGCTATAATTTTACCTCATTTGCTGCTGAAGTGGAGCCAAAATAGACGGTTCTACCAGAGGAGAGAAGGCAAAGATTCTGGAAAAGCTCAAAAACTTCACTACTCGGTTGATGGATAGATGCAATGATTGTCCTTCTGTCTTGTTGGGCAAGTCTGATAATTCGGTTCATGACATGGTAAGACGCTGCACTGTCAAGGCCACTAGTAGGCTCATCTAGGAAGAGAAGCTTTGGGCGCGTCAAGATTTCAATGCAAATGCTAACTCTTCTCTTTTGTCCACCGCTAAGTCCTTTCACACTCCACCCTCCAATTCTTGTGTCCATGGCGTCTTGCAATCCCATCTCTCTAATTGTTGCATCAGCTCTCTCCTTCTTCTCGTATTTTGACATGGAATCAGGAAGTTGGAGTTGAGCTGAGTAGTATACAGCTTCTCGTACTGTTAATGTAGTCATTAGAGTATCATCTTGTGTCACATAGGCCTATATCAGGTTAAGCCAAAAGGACTTCGNGTATTTTGACATGGAATCAGGAAGTTGGAGTTGAGCTGAGTAGTATACAGCTTCTCTTACTGTTAATGTAGTCATTAGAGTATCATCTTGTGTCACATAGGCCTATATCAGGTTAAGCCAAAAGGACTTCGTTAGAATAGAAGATTATAGGTGTGCAATGTCAAGGAATCAACCTCAAATTCTCTCTGCAGTAAACCTGTCTATTGTGATTAAAAAATTGTTGTGTTTACTGTTAAAATATCTTTTCCAAGTGATCCCCCAAAAAGCAGTAAAAAATCGTATGTTCACCTCACATTTTCTGAGGAGGAGGGNCTCAAATTCTCTCTGCAGTAAACCTGTCTATTGTGATTAAAAAATTGTTGTGTTTATTGTTAAAATATCTTTTCCAAGTGATCCCCCAAAAAGCAGTAAAAAATCGTATGCACATTTTCTGAGGAGGAGGGTGNGTGTTTACTGTTAAAATATCTTTTCCAAGTGATCCCCCAAAAAGCAGTAAAAAATCGTATGTTCACCTCACATTTTCTGAGGAGGAGGGTGTAGTTACCTGAGATAAGGCCTAAATCCACATTTATTATATAGTCATAGGAGTTTGAGCGATGGTAAATGCTCATTCACCCTACCGCTACACTTCGAGATTGGGTTCAAGGATCAGTATCACCTTGCAACCCATTATACAAGGGGAGCAATGTGCACTTGATGCGATTATATACCATGTAACCCATGGATCAGAAATGTTATACACTACCCATTTTTTGTTTCATTTTCAGAGGACTTAGGAAAGTCAAGATTCTTTAATCATGTTCACTACTAATATTAGATACACACACATATTCTAAATATGTAGCAAAACATATGCTTCGAATTTGTGAAATTCTTCGACAGACATCTTTTTTAGAGTTAATTGTACCAACGGTTCCCGAGATTTATCACTTATTATACTTTTGTCTATAAACTTTTAATTTTGTCAATTTCATCGTACTTGTTCACACATTGGTCCATACACCTAACTTCCATCCAAAACACTAACTTCCATCCAAAACACCAAGGAAAACGTCATGTGCTTACCAGGGTATTAAGGGACATTTTGGTTATTATACTCCAAAAACAAGTGGGCATTCGTGTACAAATAAAATAGTCTCACAAAAAAAATATTACGCCCATCTCTCTCTCTTCTCCAATCCCATCTCTCTCTCTTCTCCAACGCACCTCCCTCTCTTCGGCCAGCGACCACCCAGCTCTCCCTTTGCGCAAGACTTCTCAGCTGGAATCGAGCGTCACCATCCACCACCGATGGAATCGAGCGTCACCATCCACCACCGATGGAATCGAGCGCCACCACCCACCACCGCTGGAATCGAGAGCCACCACCCACAGCCGTTGGAATCAAGCTCCACCATCCACCACTGCTGGAATCGAGCACCACCACCTCATACACAAATACACCACCGCTGGAATCGAGTGCCACCACCCACCACCGCTTGAATCAAGCTCCACCATCTACCACCGATGGAATCGAGCGCCACCACCCACCACCCACCACTGCTGGAATTGAGAGCCACCACCCACAACCGTTGGAATCAAGCTCCACCATCCACCACCGCTGGAATCGAGCACCACCACCCACCACCTCATACACAAATACACCACCGCTGGAATTGAGCGCCACCACCCACCACCGCTTGAATCAAGCTCCACCATCTACCACGTCTGGAATGGAGCACCACTACCCCCCACCTCACACACAAATACAGTACACCATCTCTTCTCTCTCTTTGCCCTCTTACATTCTCAGCACCTCACACACAAATACAGTACACACCCTAACCAAAACTACCATTACAAAACCCATACGCCTGACACCACCTCCATCAACCCACTTGAGCAGGCTCCCCCCCCCCCCCCCCCCCCCCC